CTAGCAGCTAAACCAAAATTACTTGGTAAGACTTTGTGTTTTTACAGTGTTCAAACCACATCAGATACCTGAAAAATGCATTTTCACAATTTTAATGAATATATTTTATCTGTATATTGTGAAAAAACTAAAGAAGCTGCCTGCTTGTATCTGCTTAAACCGACTTAATTAAGTCGATTTAATAACGTATCTTTGGTCGTTTGATTGTCTTTAATGCTTCTTTGGCTCTAATTACAGAGAAGAGCTAATTATCATATGGAAAACAGTTTCATTAATAATGTGAATCGGTTCCTCGTTCTCATCATCTCACTGTAATTCTGCTCTTTGTTTAATTAAATTACATTTTTTCTTATGACTCGATCTTCGGCTTCTGTGAAACCCAGATAAGACGACTCTGCCAAACTCTAACGTTTAGATGGGATCGATTATTTTTTGGAGTCGTAACCGAGAGCAAAACATCTTTAATATGAAACTTCCACAAAGCTGAAGATCTTAAAAACCCGACCCGTTCGGTGGCCTGATTCGGTTCTGCTAGTGTTTCACTGAAGGAGGAAGAAAACGCAGCGATTTGATGAACCGCCAGGCAGCCGAAGGAAGAGACGTGGGCTTAAGTCTCTCGGCGGAGACGTCGTAACGCTCTTCTGCTTATTTAAAGCTTCTGCAAGCAAGTAGCAAATTCATTACTCAGCTTCAGATGTGGGCAAATGCAGACTTGGAGACTGATCACCTGGGATCTGTCATTTAACTTTAATTTCACCTTGATCATCGTTTTCACTGCAACACTACATAAAACTATACACAGGAGGTAACTGCAGGGGTTTGGGGAGAGAACAGGGCTCCATTTATCCTTAATGGGTCGAATAAAGTTAAAATATCCTGTAAGTTCATTTTCTGTGGCCTTTAACAGTAAAAAGATTAACTTAGTCACCAAAACCCTTCTCAGTTTCCTAGAATTGAGTCGTATTACAGATTTTAAAAATGTTAAAATGCTATTCTTGCACAAATGGATTCAAACTTTTATATGCACTCCTGCTCACATGAATCGAATGAAAGGTTAAAGGTTAAAGGTGATCGATTATGCAGAATTCACATTTTGTTTTTTCCATTTCAGCCCAAGCACTTAAAAAAAAACAGTTAAAAGTTTTTTGGTGTCTGGGTTAGGGTTAGGGTTAGGGTTAGGGGTTAGTCAGCGGTTCACTGCTCCGTTGCCTAGCAACACAAGCTGATTTCCAGCACATTTGGTCAGCTGGTTTTACCGCTATACAATGGCTGCTGGAAAAGACAAGTGTTTTGTTGTTGACTTACCATCCAGAAGCCACTTCCTGCTTTCTTGTTGGTTGTGCTGGAGGCTCCACTTCTGCTTCTCAAAGACGTACAGTTGAAGATTTTGTTGTGTTGACATAGTTGGTAACACAGATGAAACCAGAAGTTTACATACACCAAATAAAAAGTCAAACAGTTTCTTTTTCCTCACCGTCTGAAGTTAAATGAGACCAAACTTCTCCTGTTTTTGGTCCATTAGAATCACCAAAATTATTTCTATTTGCCAAATGGCAAAATAATGAAAGATTTATTTATTATTGTCCTCAGGATAAGACGTGAAGTTCAAAATCTAAAATATTGATCAAATTTAAACTATTTAATTAAATGTAAATGCGTCACACGGTTTGTGAAACTTTTTCTTTAAAATCAGAACATCTGGAAACAAATGAACTATTTTATTATGTTTTATTTACTGAAGCTCAATATTTTTATTCTGTATCAGCTAGTTTACATTATTACATCCTCCTTTATTCCTCCTCTACTCCTCCTTTATTCCTCCTCTACTCCTCCTGCCATCTCGCCGTCCTGCCGTCGCTTTGGGAGTTGTCAGAGTTGTGCATCCGTGTCAGATTTGGAACGGAGGCAGCTTGAAATATCTCCCCTCCCTGCTGCTGCCGGCCCATTACCGTCGTCTCTGCTGGGCTGAAAGGACCTGATGCCACAGACAACCTTCCAGTGCCAGGCAGAGATTGGAGGGAAATGAAGGGAAAGCTGCAGTCTTTCTTTCTTTCTTTCTTTCTTTCTTTCTTTCTTTCTTTCTTTCTTTTTTTTTGCGTGTTCTTTCCAAATATATGTGACTCGTATGTGATCTGCAGTTTGAACGCCAAACGTCACGCATGCACAGTAGAGGGCGCAATAACGTCTCACAGAGAGCATACTCAGGGTTCTACCATGAAGAAGAAGCGCTCGGTGTTCAGAGAAGTAAATCTTACAATTTTACAAGACCAGATTCGTATCGGCTCTAGATCCACTCAGAAAATCTGATCTGTGTTGTTCAGACTGTCGTGAAAAGATCAGATTCAAATCGCATTAAGGCAAAAAACATCGGAAATGGTTCACATGTACAGAATCGGTTCACATGTACAGAATCGGTTCACATGTACAGAATCGGTTCACAGAATCGGTTCACATGTACAGAATCGGTTCTCAGTAGTTCAATTACTTGGAAGCTTAAAGTTTTTCTTATAGGTTCCCGTAACATGACAGTTTTATTTTTCCTTAAATCGAAAACAACATGGTGCTTATTTTGAATGAAAGCGTTTATGTACAAACTCATTGAGAATTGAAAAGCAAGATTGATAATGGAATCGGTATCAATAAGTTCTTATCAACTCCCTTCAGGCTGCAGTGTGAATGGATTCATATTCATCTGTTTTTGCTCTTTCTCCTTCATGTTGTCACATAAGACGGCAGAAATATTTTGACTTTAAGCAAAGCTTTTTCATTTATGTTATTAAATTTAAAATAAATCCCCATCTGGTGCAGATCTTATTTTTATATTATTTTTTCTAGGACAGAGTTTACTTGAATTTTGGATGTAACAGAATAATTTTGTTATTTATGAGCAGTAACCGCCAGCATTTAAACTCAAATCTTTAAATTATGTATTAGAAATTCAGTTTAGGGCAAGCCTCGACTTTTTCCTCTTTCTTTATAGTTTGCCTTTAGATATTTTAATCAATAATTAATTCCCTTCTGTCTGGTTATCAAACTTTTACTTTGGATTATTTCTGCTTCTTTCCAGTACTTGTTTTAAATTCGTTCCACTTAATTTTGACGCTCATTTAGATGTAAAATGTTACTAGACTCCATCATGAATCGTTTTGAAATACTGGAAAAAATTGTCTAAAATTTATTTGAAATTATGATCTATAAAAAAATGACTAAAAATGTGACAGCAGTTGGTGTTTTAAGACCAAATAGATCAGTCATGTCGTTTCAGTTAAATGCAAATTTAAAAATATTTTATTGATCCCAAAGAGAAATTAAATGTTGAAACTTTCAGAGTTATTGTCTGAGGTCAAATTTTCTTAAAATATATTACATTAAATTAAAAACCCAAATAAATAAAATGTATTGTGATTTTCTTTTTTTACCTCTTCAACAGGAAAGCAAGCATGTAATATTGTAGTTTATTCTTTGTAGGAAAATAATGTGTACATTTTTGCAGATACAAAATAAAACAACAACAAAAAAGCCACAATTCAAAGATTTGAGTTTAAGAAGAGGATTTTAATCATTCTTTATTTTTAAAAACATTCACTGTGTTTAGACAAGTTTAATATTTAATTTAGCAATTAAATATAAAAATTAATTCAGGAAAGTTTAATAAATTTAGTAAAAGCAAATTTGGGTGCACGAGTCTGTTTTTGAGTGAATGTGTTTATTTAATATGAATTTAGACTGAATGCAAAATACTTTTTATTGTGCCTCATATTTTCTAAGCCGTTCAGTGATTAATAAACTGACATCAGTATTTTAAAGTTCATTCTCAGAGTAGGGACTGCGGAACCGGGTGAGGTTCTCCATCTTCCTGGTTTTAGTCAGACCTCCAGCAGCAGCGTCCTGTGAAGTTCATCCCCACCTTCTGCTGATCAGACAAAAATGCTCTCAAACCTTTGTGCAGCAAAATATTTAGCTTGTGCTGCTTTGGCTTTGGAGATATTAATGAAGGTTTAAAGGTCAAAAGGTCAACCAGGTATCTCACCTCCCTCTCCCAGTTTTACAAAGTCAAAATGATTTTCAAAGCCAAAGCAGCACAAACACAGAATGTTGCTGCACAAACATAGTTGAGTTGATTGACACCAATTTTGTCTGATTTCAAGAAGGTGGGGAGGGGGGACAGGTGGGGGGGAACTTCACTCAGGTAAGATGAACTCATGGATGAGTTTCTCTAATGCTGGAAATTTTCTTCAAGTGATAGAAGGCCAACTTTGTAACCATCTTTATGTGTTTCTGAATGCTCAGGTCAGAGTTCATCCTGGTCTCTGGTTTCCAGCTCTAACAGCTGGAGCTCTGCGTTGACTCCAGTTCGCTCCTCTTTAGGTTCAAAGTTAAAAACTTCAGTTTTGTTTCTGTTCAGCTGGAGAAAGTTTTGGCACATCCACACATTGATCTGTTCAGTGATTGGACGGTTCTGAGTCACCTGGTGACATCATAATGTAGAGCTGAGTATCATCTGCGTAGTTATGGTAGCTGCTCTTATGTCCTGTTGTAGCCTGAGCCAGTGGGAGCATGTAGATATTAGGGGTTTTAGGACTGAGCCTTGGTGTTCCCCACATATGACGTCTGTCGCTTTGATGAGACGTTTCCTGTTGAATCAAATAAATCCTTGATTCAAACCAAAATGCTAATTTTGATTTCAGAGGTTTTTTTGCCATTACTCTTCTCACCGCTGCGTCTTTTTTCCCTCGTCCAGAAGCAGAGGACGGTTTACCGACTGACGCTGGTGAAAGCCTGGAACGTGGAGGAGCTGCAGGCCTACGCCGAGCTCATCGCTTTGGGTCAGCCCGACTTCATCGAGGTCAAGGTAAGGTCGCAACATCCATCAAATATCTGTACATTCCTGCACTTTCCAATCAATCAATCAATCAATCAATCAATCAATCAATCAATCAATCAATCAATCAGTCAGTCAATGACATTTTATTTTATGGCACATTTCAGCAACAGCAGTTCAAAGTGCTTTACATCATAAAATCACAAAAATCAACAGTTGATACATTACGTTTTTCCAAATGTCGTCATTTGAATTTATGCTACATGTTTTAACTCTAAATGTAAAGGAAGTCAGTGTTTCGGCTGTTTTGCTGTTTTATTGGGTGTTTCTAATTATGAATTCTTAGAAGTGTTTGTTTATACAAATATTTAGACAGTTTAATGTTTTCTCCAAAGCTTATTTAATATAGTTTGATTAAACAAAGATGTCAGGTAAACATGCATTTATTTTGTCTTTCTGGATTGTAAACAAGCTGAATGTGCACATTTATCTTAACTAAAATTTTGTTTCAATTAGTATTTTCACACTTAATGCGTTGTTATTTTTATACATCAGATAACTATGTATAAAAAGACATTAGCCCTGCTGCAAAAAAAAAAAAAGTTTTATATAAAAACAGCCGAGAGTCGGAAGAAAAAGGCAAATATTTGTTGATGATATTGTTGTTTCTTTTGTGGAGGTCAAAGTTTTAATAAAACGGCTCTGCCAGATGAAAACAGAGCTGAAACAAAATCAAAGTTTGATTCTTGTGTCAGTTCTGACACATTTAACTCTGAGAGTTATTCTTTACATTTTATATTTAAAGTTGATATTTTAACATCTATAGTTTTAGTTTTTTCATACGTTGGTTAATATTTAGAAGCAGAATTCAAAACTAATTAGAAAGTATTGTATTGCTGTGTTAGATTAGCTACTGCTGCTATTAGCTAAGCTATCCATCCATCCATCCATTTTCTGAACACCCTTGTCCCTCAGTGGGGTCGGGAGGGGTGCTGGTGCCTATCTCCAGCTAACGTTCCGGGCGAGAGGCGGGGTACATCCTGGACAGGTCGCCAGTCTGTCGCAGGGCAACACAGACACACAACCATGCGCACACACACACACACACCTAGGGGCAATTTAGACAGACCAATTAACCTAACAGTCATGTTTTTTTGGACTGTGGGAGGAAACCGGAGTTTAGCTAAGCTAACATTAGCTAATTTAAACACCTGCTTACTGATGACCTGTCAGAGTTGGTGTTTAGGTAGCCTTTTTTTTTACTTTGTAACTGAACCGAAACACACATAATTTCACATCACATCTACATGTTAAGATTGTCATAGTCAAGCTAGCATAGCTGACCTATTTCTGTTCCTTATGAATTCAAACTTCTTCCTTTTCTTGTTGCCTAGTTGTTGTTGTGTTAGTAGCGAAGCAATGCGTCCCTTTTTCTTTCATATGCAATTTGTACATTGAAAATTTGTTGCGTTATTTCTACATCTTTAAGCTAAAACCGATGCTAGTCGTCATCGGCTAGCAGCTTTTTGCCGTCCAGCAGAGAGGTGTGACGTCATGCTGCAGTGGGTCCATATTGGTTGGGTATTCAGTACTCCAGAGATTTCATTCTCAAAAAATATATTAAATTATTGTCGAACAACCAACTGAATCTGGAGTTTTCTTTCAACATTTGCTGTCGCCGTTTGCGGACTAGCGTAGCGTAGCCACCAGGAGGAGAATTTAGTGCCATAATTTGCCACTTGCATTTAAAAGACTAATAAATAGATTCATAAACACAAAAACTAAGCATTTTATATGCAGTGTTAGTTTTATAAATGCACCAGATAATTCAATTTATTTATAGTTTTCCACCATTAATCACTGTTTTTATTTATTTCAGTTAACAAAAATATTTTTTTCAATTTCAGTTTTTGTCATTTTGTTGGTTGTGGTTAATAACTTTGAACTGAGGACGAGTCCAGTCTGTAGTTCAGTGTGACATTGATTCATCCTCTTGACCTGGAGTTCCTCATAGATCCACATCAACCAGAGTTGATATTCAGCGGCACCTAATTTCAATTCCACTGCACAAGAGTAAGTGAATTAATTTGGAGAGGTCGTTTTGGAGACTTATTTGTTCATGAATACAAGCCTCAAACTCTCCCTCTTCCCATTTTGTGCTGCCGTCATTTCCACCGCAGAATGAAAAGCTTCCCACAGCCAGCATTAGTATTCATGAAAGGCCTGTTCCCACACAAGACGAATTTCCCACATCCTCTAATTCAGAGCGCTTTTCAGCTACTTGACAGTCGAGTTTCAATGCTTGATGTTCTCCTCAGGGTGACGACTTTCATTAATTCAAACCGGTCAGTGGCGAACTGAACCCAAAGCAGAAAATAAAATAGAAAATAATAGAAATCACCTTTTTTTTCTCCCTAAGTGGGGAAATTAAGCCGCAAAGCGACATGTAAGTCGCATTATGTAGCTTCACACAAAATAAAAATACAAAACAAAAAACAACAGTAAAGGCAAATGTACGGCTGTCCAGTTATTCAAATTAGAATACTAGGATTTAAATAAAGAAAAAAAAAACGGATTATATACAAGAAGTTGAAATAATAGCAAACAACAGCAGGGATGTAAACACTTAAATTCAAAATGTTAATATTTTTGTACAGTTTTGGCTTAATTACTCCTCTAATAATGTATTTAATTTCAGTACATGACCCTTTTTAGAGTCAGTATCCCCTACTTAACGGTGAATTAATTATTCCAATAATCACAATTTTCCGAATAATTGTCCCAGCAATCTCAAACATGGCAAAAACACCAAATCTTACCAAGTATTTTTGGTTTAATTTCTAGTGCAAATGTCTCAGTACACTTAAAACAAAACAAAACTAACTTACAAGAAACTTCTCAGGAAGAAATAACGATCCTGTTGCCTAGCAACCCCTGCCAAGACCTGTCCGTTGCCTAGCAACCCCTGCCAAGACCTGCCCGTTGCCTAGCAACCCCTGCCAAGACAGGTTCAAGACGCAGTTCTAGTTCCACTGGCTGATTACTTAACTTATGAAATTGGAAATTGTCTTACGCGTAAAAATATCTGCCAATGCAACTCGTACATTTTCATCAATATCAAGGAATTATTGATTTAAAGCAAGCTCCTGTATTTTGCTGAAAAGTTACTTGTAAGTTAGTTTTGTCTTATTTCAAGTGTAAAAAAGATATTTGCACGAGAAACTTGGTAAGAGTTTTGCAATGTTTGCGATTTTGGGGAGTTTGGCTTGGAAGTGATTAATCATGATTATTAAAATACATAATCATTAACTAGGTCATACTGACTCTAAAAAAAAGACAATTTGCTGAAATAACATATTTACAGCAGCAATTAAGCAAAAACTGTACAAAAGTATTCACATTCTTCATTTAGGGTAAAAGTCAACCAATATATTCTTCCCAGATCTCATCAAGTGGCAAAGATTTAGCTTCATGTCATTCAAATTCTTTAAAAAAAGAAAAGAATCTCCTATTAACCATCTTTTTCTTCCAGTTCTTAATCGTTTAATCTAGAAAATAATCACCAGATCAGCCCTTCACGGTTCTGATGTTGAGTCGAGCAGAAAAAGCTGAACTTTTTACAGTTAAAAGTATTTTTTATCTGCAGACACATCTACAAATGATCAAAGGTTCACTAAAGGAATGATGAGTTGTTGCACTTTAGGCAATAAATGCTCATGTTAATTTAAAAAAGGAATGTTTTAGAATATTTCATATTTATCGCTTTTCTTTCTGATAAATGTTTTTTTCTGTGCCATAATAAAGCTACTAGATCAAACTGTTATCTTTCTTTTCCTTCAGCCTTTCTCTCTGGTGTGTGGGGAACTGGCTGCGACGTGCTGAGTGGTTCAGGGGATTCATTTCAGGGCTGTTATTACATCAATGAACCCAAAACTGTTACCCTGTAGAGAAGACTTTGTTCTTGTAAGGAGCGATTGATGTCAAACAAAAAGTTTGAAAGAAACTTTCTGCTGACTCATCTTGGATAATGTTTAAATTTGGCTCTGTCAAAGGCCGTTTACCCCGACCTGAGACATTCGTACATGTAATTTTGGTAACTTTTCATCTGAAAAGGTTTGCATAAGACTGACAGGACACGTTTCATAAACATGAAGGAGGCTTCATGAATGTTTATAACTGTTGTCATCAAGGGCGTAGGAACGAGTCTGTCATTGGGGGGGACGCATATCGGAAACCTGAC